CTGTGGTGGGTAGTACGCTGAACAGATGGCGGTAGTGTGACATAACTCTTTGAAAACCTTGTTCTTGAAAACATAGTATCTCAAAACATATAACCTCAGTAACGACATCTATCTGGCTTCTCGCGGAAAACAAGCTTGCTCGCTAACTCGTAAACAATATTGCATAAAAGTTCTAAAGTGTGTCCACGATGAAATTGCCACACTATGAAATTGCTCTAACTTTTTAACCGTTGGGTAGAATTTAATGAAAATTTGGGTGGATTTAGTTCATAGTGCATTATTTACATCCTGCAAGTTTTAAAGTCCTGTGATCAAAACTCGCGGAAATGGAGTCGAAAGAACAGCTAGTGCGTGATAAAATCTTGCGCATTCATCACGAGAACAAGGATCTCTCGCATCGTTCCATCGCTAAAACGTTGGGAATCGCGAATTCCACGGTGTCGCGAGTGATTAAGCGGTTCGAGGAACGGTTGACCACCGATCGGAAGCCCAGAAGTGAAGGAAAAAGTATTCCGTACAACACCAAAAATCACAACCGCGTAGTTGGGGCCTTCAACCGAAATCCGAACGCCTCCGTTAGGGATGTGGCTAAGAAGCTGCACCTAAGCCGAAGTTTTGTCCAGAAGGCCAAAACTAAGGCTGGGCTTCGAACGTTCAAGGTACAAAAGACCCCTAATCGTGACGAGAAGCAGAACAAGTCCGCCAAAACCCGTGCCAGGAAGTTGTACCTCAACATGCTGACGAAAGTTGAATGCTGCATCATTGACGACGAAATATATGTGAAGGCCGACTTCAAACAGATCCCCGGCAACCTGTTTTTCACGGCCAAGGATAAGTTCAGCGTTCCGGAGCATGTCCGCACTCAGAAGATGTCCAAATTTGCGAAGAAATTCCTGGTTTGGCAAGCCATCTGCACGTGCGGGAAGCGGAGTGCACCTTTCGTGACCCAGGACACGATGAACGGACAGGTGTACATAAAAGAGTGCCTCCAGAAGCGGCTGCTTCCTCTCCTGAAGGCCCACAACGTCCCAACAATCTTCTGGCCGGATTTGGCCTCATGCCACTACTCCAAGGACGTGCTGAAGTGGTATGCGGACAATAAGGTCAATTTCGTGCCGAAAATGTTCAACCCTCCCAACACTCCGGAGCTCCGCCCCATCGAGAAGTACTGGGCGATTATGAAGCAGCACCTTCTTAAACGACCTAAGGTAGTGAAGACAGTCGAGGAACTGAAGAAAGTATGGGTTTACATGCAAAAAACGGTTGATTCACAGGTTGTGCAGAATCTTATGGCCGGGGTTAAGGCCAAGGTGCGGGCATTTGCGTATGGACTGTAAATAAAATACGAGTAAAATGGTAAAATGAAGTTTAATAGTTATTTCTCAATCCCTGAAAATTTGATGGCAATCGGATGAAAACTCGAATTTTGCGAATCAATTTTGTGTGTGGCAATTTCATCGTGGACACCCTTTAGGCTACGACAGTTTGTTGAATTTTATCCTTTTCATAGTTATTGTCATTGTTATATGTTGAATGTTCAATGTTAAATATTAAATGTTAAATGTTAAATTTAACATTTCACATTTAACATTTTACATTGTACATTTAACATTTAACATTTAACATTAAACATTTAACATTTAACATTAAACATTTAACTATTAACATTTAACATTTAACATATAACATTTAACATTTAATATTTAACATTTAACATTTAACATTTAAAATTTAACATTTAACATTTAACATTAAACATTCAACATTTAACATTTAACATTTAACATTTAACCACAGACAAACAGACATAACACATTGAATATTTCTCACTGTAAAACATAGTCACTAAAACAGAACCGTTATCTGTTGAGTACACTGTGGTGGGTAGTACGCTGAATAGATGGCGTTAGTGTGTAAACGTCAAACGCAAGGGAACTGACTATGCGCGGCACAGGTAGCGATACTACCAACTAGGATACTTTTAAATTGAACGTTAAATGCTTGTTCGATGAACAACTTGCGAGTGTTATGTCTGTTTGTCTGTGATTTAACATTCAACATTTAACATTTAACATTTAGCATTTAACATTTACCATTTAACATTCAACATTTAACGTGCAACATGTACCATTCAGCTTAAATCGTTTAGCAATTAACATTAAGCATTTTATATTTTATATCCTAAATTGAGCTACACAGCAAAAAAATAATTTTGATATCACATCAAAGTGGATGCACTACAATCATGTCGAAAATTTCATGTAATTTTTATGACCACATAAATAAACAAATGCAGTAAAAGCAGCGTAATGTCAGTTCATGCATTGTATTAATGATAATTTTGTCCTTTTTAGCAAGTAATATTACACCATATTTTCGACATGATTGTAGTGCATCCACTTTGACGTGATATCAAAATTATTTTTTTGCTGTGTACATGGTATTCTAGATTTAAACTTATGGGAACTGACATCCGATTGATGACCTTGATGATGTCCAGAATATACTCTTTAACAAATTTATGATGGTTCTGAAATGGACTGTTTTGTCGTGATGGTTGCGTAATGCTGAGCGATTAGGGTGTTCAACACAGACGAGACTAGCGAGCTGTATGTTGTTTGGAACAAGGGTGACGCACTTGGCATAGATGGCCCACAGCGACTCACGAAGAGCTACTGAATCCGATCAGTAGCGGTGCGGCTGCTTCCTCCTTCTTCAGTGAATGGAAACTCATGTGGGCTGCAGCTCACTGCTTGCGGGCAGCATTTCATTGTGTACTGGAGCACAATATTCAACGCCACGCGCCAAAAACACTGCTGCTGCTCCTGCTGATGGCGAGTGACCGGACACCACGGACACACGGTAATTGAACACCAGATAGAATTATAATTTTAAATCTGTGTTAGGGAAAGCGCTTTTCGCAGGCAATCGGTGATAGTTTTGATCACCATTGCTGTAGTTGGACATTTGTGTTATTTTAAATAGTGACCTAGCAGATTTGTAGAAAAATTTCCAATCGATTGGCTTGTTTAGATTTAAAATCCATCCGCAATTCACATAGTTATAAGTGGTCAAAACCTGACCACTTTACGTAACGCGGTCGATTTTTGATTTTTCAAATTTTACCACCAATATGTTGCCAAAAGATGTAATCCTACGTCAAAATCAAATGGACTTTCGGACCTGCTTGCAAAGTGAATTTTAAACGGCACAAATTTTAAGAGAAATTTTACTGGAATTGGTTCAAGACGAAATAGGCTCCGACAGTTCGTTGAATTTTTTCCTTTTCTAAAAAAATTTGCCAGTTTTGCAATTTGGTCTCTATTTTTTTTCATTGTACGGCCAACAGCCTCGCAAATACTTGTATGGAAGTGTATTTGAAGCTGTTTTGGAAACCGGTAGCCACCAAATTATTCTTAGATGGTGGAAAAATCAAAACTTAACTTTTTTCGCTGGAAACGGATTTTAGTAAAATTAAAGGCGTTTAAAAGATGAGCAAAATTTCAGCAAAGCATTTTCGTGAGTGAATCTATCAATGGTCAAACTTCGTAAAGACTCACCCATTCGAGTCCAAATCCATACCGATAAATATTGAATAGTTGATGTGCCAATAGCCAAGAATTCAAAAATGTGGATACTCAAATCGATCAGTTCATTGAACTAAGTTGAAGTGAGATAAAAATCACGAGATTCTATACTTTTATCCAGAACTGTAATGTCACACTAAGGAGAAAGGGATGATCTAAGTTTTCGTAAATTCATTGATAGACCTGATGTCATGCGGCAGTAAACAAACAAACAAATGCAATCAATCTTCCAATGCTTGTTTATTCCGAAACCGAACACACGCCTATTATTCTAAATTTACTCAACGCTTTTGCATAGTAACACATTTCATTTTGAGAATCCAACAAACTCTACCAGTAGGTTACAATCACTTTTCCCGTTCGGTGACCCAGCAGTGCACCGGGCGCACTCCAAATAAAGCACACTTTTGAATGACAAAAAAAGAGAAAATAGCTTTGATAACAATAATTTGGTCACTTGGCTACAGGATTATACAACATTGCCTGTCCAAAACAAAAAATATGTTCTTGTTCCTTCCATGCCTGATAAGCGACAGCCCAATCACTTCACGTGCGTTCCTACGACCACCTAGAAGATTTGAAAATTTGAACTTAAATCCTTTTACAAATTGCAACATTGCTCTATTCAAAGCTAAATTGTAGCGTAACGATGTGGCTTGTCAAACAGACGAACTGATAACGGCTGATTAACTACTTTGCCATAGATAACACAGGCATCGCTCGGTCAACATCTTCCCGAGAGAGTTCTGAACCCACATAGAAGTGCGAGATGAGTAATGTGCATCTCCTTCACTAAGCTGCCACCGCAGTCGGGTATCAAATGTCCAAGTTCAGCAACTGCAACTTGAACTCGCAATTGCCGTCAACGGCTATTGATTGACGATCGGTTTCGTGAGTTCTTAAGAAGAAAAAGAAGTGTGCAGATCGGATCGCGCAATTCCCGGGGAGGTCTTCCACTATGTCGGCAATTGCAATCTAAGAGCGACTTCTGGAAAGAATGTAAGTAGCAACAGACGACCGCGACCGGTTAGAATGCGCAGCTACAGTGATGGCCGTGAAAAGCGCTAATTTGACGAGCAGTTGATCTTTTCGCATACGATCAAACGACCCATTTGATCAAACGGTATTTAGTGAAACTTCAGGCCGTTGGGAGATCTGGAACCTTTGGGCAATAGTTTGACCGCCACTGTAAATCCGTATTGATTTCCCAGCGAGCACCGGCTTGCCGACGCAATAAAAACAATCGATTGTTTTTCTCGACGTGTTTGCTCTTATTATTTTCACTCATTGCGCCACTATCAGTTACATTGTAGATAGCTCTATGCCTGACTGGTGTTGTTCTGGAATCTACCCGGTCGGTAGAAGAGAACGTTGCTAGCGGTCACGTCGTCGCCTTTTCAGAATCTCCGTACCTGCAGGAGGGAACAGTCGAGTCGAACTCGAAGCCAAGTAGCAAAATCTCCATAGTGAGTTCCAGTAGTTGGTTCAGAAAAGGCGTGCGCGCAACTCCCGTTGGCAGTTTGTGTTTGGTGAAATCGGTTCATAGTTGGTGTTTTGAAAGTGATGCACGTTGTGATCCCGGTGGAATTTCGTCCGATTTATTTAGATTCGTTCTGAGCAAGTGGTGGTGAAGTTTAGTTTTTCACTACGAACATCCTCCATTGCTGTTTGGAGGAGAGTGACCATATTTTTTTTTGAGACTCCGGTAAAACAAAAAGCCGTCAAAATTCCGCTGTACAGGGATCATTCGTTGTACCTATACAAGCTCGTTTATAGAGCTAATAGGAAGAGAAGAGCCAAGGCAATGCATACCATTGCGTATAACGCCAAGTAAGTAGTTTTCGGGGATGTCGGTGTGGAGTGGATGTGCGTGAAGGTTTTGAGCTAATTTAAGATAACAAATTACAACTGTGATAATTAGGAATCTGCGTATTTAGTGTCTTATGGATAAGTCGTATCCAGAGTTATATTTTGACTATACAGATCTAATGGAATCATCACTTGCTGAGGAAAGCTGGGGAAAAAGGTTTGATAATCACTTCTTCTTTTTTATTTTGTTGATGAAAGTCTCTCCGAATGAAATCTAAAGGTTCACATGAAAGAAACGGAGAATTTTGATAGGAATAGTAATTTTCACAACATTTATTTGAACTTGATATAAAAATGATAATAGATGGAAAAATAGTCAACTGGAATTTAAAACTCGGGCACCATTTTGAAAATTGCAAGAACGTTCTTTTGTTGGCTGTAGCACAGTCAGCTAATGCACGAAAAACGATTTGAGTGATGATTATTTTTACAGCGATAATAAGTCAATAATAATAAGTAAATTATTGATCTACATTGTAAAAGCTACAACCTACCAACATCGTAAATAGGTTGTAATCAATCGTAGTGAACATTTAACTGGAATTGATGATGATGATGATGATGGTCCCACCTCTTACCCCTACAAAGGTTTGAACTGGACGATTTATCTTTAAGATAATTGAATATGACATTTTAACCAGCTTGGCAAACAAAATCGAACTGGTTTCAGTTACAGATATAAATTCCCTCTAGAGTTTACAGTTGCTTCACAGCGATATAAATGTGGAAAAGCTCAGGCGTCCACCTCTTAGTTCGCCTTTTTGTCCACCTAAAATATTCATAAGTATTACAAGCAATCAAGAGTTAATGAAAAATCAACAAAGCATCCTATTACACTAGCAACCCCGCAATCTGATGCTATCATAATTTTCAGCAATGTCAGGAATGCTCACGAACCCCTAACATTTGCCAGAAAACTTACTACTAACTCAAGGTATCTTTCAAATAAGCTTCAAAATTGCATTTTTTTTTATCAAATGTTAAATTCAGTACTCTATATCCGTATAAGCGCGCGAGGCTCAAACCTTTGTAGACTACTTTTTTTTTAATTAATCTACTATTAAATCAAATATTAAAAATCCATCATCACCATCGTGGCGAACAGAAATAGTTTTTGCAGTGCTACAATAATTGTTAAAAAAGTCGTTATGACAGCTATCCATATAAAATAATCCGTTGGAGATAACTTCGTCAAGATGCATAATTTGTCAATTCATAAAAAAAAATCATTTATTCCTTTAAAATATAATGAATTTTGTGAAGCACAAGTCAAGAAATGTGGTGCTCTTATTTCAACCGTGTTTCTAGTATTATATATATGAAAGTCACTCCCTCTTTCAATTCGATCACACAAATATCGAGGCAGCAAACCGTTAACTACTTTAAAATGAACACCATAGTCAAATATACAAATCTTTGCTTCACCGACAACCATTGTAAGGCGTCTAACATCAAAGTTGAGTAAGTGAATCTACTACATCTCAAAATCAGCTTGATTATTTAGATAATAAAACAATGTGAATAATAGCATTGCAATACACTGTTATTCATACAAAAGTAATTTGATCTTGAGTAATGTTTTTTTCTGAAGCGTATCAAACGTTTTTATAATACTAATAATTTATGAAACGTACACGTGGAAAATACGAAGTTATTTTAAAAATATTTGTTCTAACCCCGGGTTCAACAAACAAAATGATTACACAATTAGTACCGCATCTGTATCCGATGAATCAACTCGTAAGTCGATGAAAATGTATTAGTACAACGGTAAATGTTAAAAAAATCTATTCGACCTATTTTCTTTTTAAGATCTCGGCAATGAGGATCATGAAAATAGCATGAGTATGGCAGTTCATAGCGATATATCGGATTTAAGTGGAACATCGTGTACCTATATATCTTTGAGGAAGTCAATGGAGAAGGCTTAGTAGACCTCGCAAAGCTGTTCGATAACCCTGAAAAGGAGGACATCCAAACTGCTATCAAAGAGTGGTCTTTACGTCACAACATAACTCACAAAGCATTGAAAGATTTATTGCAACTTATGAGACTCCAACACAATGACCGACGATTACCCGTAGATCCTAGGACATTACTTGCTACTCCACAAGATACGGGAAAATTATGTATCAAAATGGCCGGTGGACAATATTGGCATTTTCGACTCCAGAAGTGCTTAGAATATTGGTTCAATAATCTAGTTGAGGACATTTCAATAAGTATCAACTTTAATATAGATGGACTCCAAATACACAAAAGCTCAAAATGCCAATTATGGCCAATTTTATGCAACGTGCATGGCGCATCTAGTCTGAAACCGATGCCTGTGGGAATTTTCTTTGGAAAACACAAACCCTCAAACGTAAATGAGTTTTTAACGCCGTTTGTCAACGAAATTATCCCTATTCTACGGAACGGTATTGTTGTGAATGGCTGCACAATCAATATCAAAATTAGATGCTTCATTTGTGATTCCTGCTAGAGCTTTTGTAAAAGGTGAATCATATAATAACTAGATATTAAAACATTTTTTAAATATCATAAAAGTAGTTTTTCTAAAGGGTGATACGGTCAAAATTTGGTCAAGGGAAAACGCGTGTAAATCGGTGAAATCGTTTATTTAAAAAATCAAATTAAATTTCTTTTTCAAGTTCAATTAGTATAAAATTCAGGAAAAATATTCAGTTAGGCTTCTGCTTTTCCAAATCCGAATTGCCGGGCCTTACGCTTGACCCCTGCCATCAGATTTTGTACAGCCACCTTGTCCACCTTCTTCGCCGCAGAAAGCCAGTTTGCCTTGAACTGCTGCTCGCCTTTAGCAGTTTTTCTGGTCTTCTTTAGGTTCCGCTTGACAATAGCCCAGCATTTCTCAATTGGGCGGAGCTCTGGCGTGTTGGGAGGGTTCTTGTCCTTGGGAACCACCTGCACGTTGTTGGCGGCGTACCACTCCATGGCCTTTTTACCGTAATGGCAAGATGCCAAATCCGGCCAAAACAGTACGGAACAACCGTGTTTCTTCAGGAAAGGCAGCAGACGTTTATTCAAACACTCTTTCACGTAAATTTCTTGGTTGACAGTCCCGGAAGCTATGAAAATGCTGCTTTTCAAGCCACAGGTACAGATGGCTTGCCAAACCAGATATTTCTTTGCGAACTTTGACAGTTTCATGTGCTTGAAAACATCTGCTACCTTTCCCCTTCCTTTTGCCGTATAAAACTCCTGTCCCGGAAGCTGCTTGTAGTCGGCTTTGACGTAGGTTTCGTCGTCCATTACCACGCAGTCAAACTTTGTCAGCATCGTCGTGTACAGCCTCCGGGATCGCGCTTTGGCCGTCGTATTTTGTTTATCATCGCGATTTGGAGTCACTACCTTCTTGTAAGTCGATAGTCCGGCTCGTTTTTTGGCTCGATGCACGGTTGTAGACGATACACCCAGCTTATTTGCGGCATCTCGGAGAGAGAGGTTAGGGTTTCGCTTGAAACTACCGGCAACTCTCTTTGTCGTCTCAGCGGCTTCCGGTTTTCGATTTCCCCCCGATCCAGACTTCCTGGCTGTCGACAAACGTTCCCCAAACACTTTAATTACATTTGTAACGGTTGATTTGGCAACTTTTAGCGATTTTGCCAACTTTGCGTGCGAGTAGCTCGGATTTTCGCGATGCGCGAGCAAAATTTTGATACGCTGCTCTTCTTGCTTGGACGGCATTTTGACAACTGAAGAGTGAATTCCAAAATCAAAATAGGAGCAACATTCTACACACACACACCTTCAAAATGAGGGGTGTTCAGGTTTTTTAAATGCAAAATTGAAAGAAATACGTCAAGTTGATATTGACCAAATTTTGACCGTATCACCCTTTACATTTTAAAATCATATCTTATATTTTAGGAGTTGTAAACTTTAACAGCAAAAATTGATGCCTCAAATGCACGATAAATGGCGAATATTCTCATATCTCACGAACAGTCATTTTTCCATACTTACGCTGTACGCTAAGAACCGACGAAAAGTTTCGAAAAAAATTGTATGGGAAACATCACAATGGCGAGGAATCTCCTATCCTGAGAATTCATGATGTTGACATGGTAAAGGATTTTATTGTAGCTGATTCTCTCCATCTCCTAGAGCTTGGCGTAATGAAACGACTTCTAACCGGCTGGAGAGATGGTAAATTGGGATTTACCGGCAAACTGAGTGCATTCCAAATCCAAAAATTATCAGATAGGATTACTAAAATCAGATTGCCTTGCGAATTCCATCGTAATATAAGATCTTTAGACTGCTTAGCTTTTTGGAAAGGTACTGAATGGCGAACGTTTTTGAATTACATCGGAATCATCGTACTGAGTGATATATTAGAGGAAACACTGTACTACCATTTCCTTGTTTTGTTCACTGCGGTTACAATCTGTTCGTCAGACTTCTATATAAATTTAAGACCGTTGGCGCAAGAGCTTTTTGAAAAATTTATCGAAAAATTCCAAAGCGTCTACGGAGAAGATTATATTACTAGTAATATACACAATCTAGAACATGTGGTAGCTGACGTTGACAGGTTCGGATCTTTGGATTCCATTTCAGCATATCCATTTGAAAATTATTTATGTCAGCTAAAAAGATGCCTAAGACAAGGAAACAACTGTTTAGAACAAGTGGCCAATAGAATCCTGGAGAAAAGTACTGTGAAGGATACTCGAGAAACGTCCAAAGGACCATTTCCAAACTTGTTCAAGCGAAAAAATAACCTACATTGCTCAGTAAGAGATGGCTTACTACTAAATCAGTCTTTTGAGAATTCATGGTTTTTATCAAAACAGAATGAAATGAATGAACACACATTTTGATGTTTCATATGACGAGCACAATCAAATTGTAATTCAAGGTTGTTCCGTAGCATCACCTAGTGATTTTTTTCATTTTGCCAATCCGCTCTTCGTACCTACGTATTTATAAGGCAA